GTATTGTTTTAGTGTAAATAACAGCGGTATTGTTTAGTGTATAAAGCCGGTATTGTATTAGTGTATAACCAGCGGTAATGATTTTAGTGTATACACAGCGGTATTGTTTAGTGTATAACAAGCGGTATTGAATGTAGTTGTATAACAGCGGTATTGTTTCCGTGTATACACAGCATTATTTGTTTTAGTGTATAACCAGCGGTATTCCCGTTTACGTGTATAACAGCATTACTGCTTTTAGTGTATAAACAGTCGGTATTGTTTAGTGTATAACAGCGGTAATTGTTGTTAGGTGTATGAGACAGCGGCATTGGTTGGTGTATAACAGCGGCATTGTTTAGTGTATAACAGCGGCCATTGTTTAGTGTATATTACAGTCGGCATTGTTTAAGTGTAAATAACCAGCGGCATTGTTTAGTGTATAACAGCGGCATTGTTGTGTATACAGCGGCATTGTTTAGTGTATAACAGCGGCTATTGTTTTGAAGTGGTAGTGAACAGCGGCATTGTTTAGGTGTATACACAGCGCATTGTTTAGTGTATAAACAATCATATTTTTAATTGTATAACAGCACATTGTTTAGTGTATAACAATCATATCTTTACTTGTATAATACAGCAGCATTGTTTAGTTGTATAACAGCGGTATTTGTTTAGTGTAATAAGTTTACAGCGGTAGTTTTTTAGTGTATAACATCGGGGTAGTGACGTTTATGTAATAACAGCATTATACAGTAGATAGTGTAATAACAGCGGTATTGTTTAGTGTATAACAGCGGTAATTGTTTAGTGTATAAACAGCGTATTGTTTAAGTGTAATAACAAGCGGTATTGTTTAGTGTATAACAGCGGTATTGTTTAGTGTATAACAATCATTTTTGTGTATAAACAGCGGTATTGTTTAGTGTATAACAGCGGTATTGTTTAGTGTATACAATCATTTTTTTAGTGTATAACAGCGGTAATTGTTTAGTGTATAAAAGTCATTTTTAGTTGTATAACAGCGGTATTGTCTTATAAGATGTAATAACAGCGATATTGTTTAGTGTATAACAGCGTATTTGTTTAAGTGTTATAACAGCAGTATTTATACTGTGTGTTAGACCCTTAGTTTTTCCCTTAATTGGCACTTTCTTTACTGAATAATGATCAATGGTTTATTCTATTTTCAGGATACTGCTAACAACCAGTACCTTTTAAAAGAGCTGTAATCTAAACGAAGACCTATCTAATAAACAAAGCCCACTCATTTGACCCAGGGTTTTAGCCAACTATAGACCGATTTCTACCTCCTCCTTCCTCTCCCTAAGATCTGAGACAAGTAGTCGCCAACACAGTTGTGTGATGTTCTTCTTAAAAACCACAGCAACAGCTATTTGAGGATATTTCAGTCCACCAGGATTTAGAGTCTCTTCACAGCACAAAAGAGACAGAATCCTGGTTAAAGGATAATAATGACCATATATTGATTGCTATTCTATGACAAATGGACTTGTCTTCTCTACTGTGGGCGGCTGTGGCGCAGAGGCAGAAACGGGGTCGTCCCCTAATCGGGAGGATTTGTTGGTTCAATCCCTTGGCTCCTGGTGCCACATGTCAAAGTATCCTTTGAGCAAGATATTGAACCCTCAAATTGCTTCCGATACAGTGCATCGGTGTATTGAATGATGTAATGAAAGGGTAAAATGATAGGCACGTAGATGTAAGGGGAAGGCGCTTTGAATGGTCCGAAGACTGAGCTATACAAGTAACGAGGGGTCCATTTAACCATTTTACGTTGTATTTATTAGATCTTATGCTGAATTTGACACCATTTGACCAATAATATTCTTTTTTTACAGAGTCTTTGAGCATACTAATTAGGGGTCTAATGAGAAGAGAAAGAGAGGAACCGCACCTAAGCTGGTTTTAAGTCAGTACGAGATAGTAGACTGTTCTCAGTTGTACATTTTTACCGATGAATACTCCATAATAGTACTACAGTTAGTCATGGAGTTCAACAAGGTTCTGTGGACCAATTCTATTCACTTTGTATATGCTTCCTCAGGCAACAATTATTAAAGTTGCACTCACACCCTACAATCATGAAGTGCTTCGAGAGGCTGGTCCTGGTTCATCTCAAAACCAGCCTACCACCTACACTACACCCCTCCATTTCCGCCTAACCGCCAGACAGAGTACAGAATGGTAAATGGTAAAATGGAAATGGACCTGTACTTGTATAGCGCCTTTCTGTCTTGCGACCAACTCAAGCGCTTTTACAACTACTTGCCCAACCCTTTCACACAGCGATGGCAAAGTCATTGAACAGAAACTAACTTTATTTATACACATCACACACCGATGTATGCAATTTGGGGTTCACTATCTTACTCAATGGATACTTCGGACACATGGCAGAAGGAACAACCAACAACCTTCCGATTGGGGGACGACCACTCTGCTCTGAGCACAAGCCGCCCCCATAAGAAGACGCCATCTCTATAGCGCTACACTCCGCCCTCACTCCCACCTGGACAACAGTAACACCTATGTGAGATGCTGTTCATTACTTCCCAGTTCGCATTCAACACCATCATCCCCCTCTGGTCTGATCACCAAAACTCAGCAACCTTGGCTCAACAACATCCCTCTGCTACTGGATACTGGACTTTTAACCACAGACCCCAATCTGTTCGGTTAGACAACCACACCTCCTCAACCCAACAATCTGGTACAGAAATGCTGCCGGCCTTGGACCGAAAAATCTGCAGAGGTAGTGAAAACTACCCAGAGAAAATCCCGGTTCACCTCTCCCCACGACTGTTTATGCAGATGATACCCAGTTATATCTATCAATCAAGCCCCGATAAAATTAATCAGTCTTAATTAGATGTCTGGATAAGCTGCAATTTTCTAATGCTGAAGGTTCTTGTACTGGCCCCAAAACCTCCGAGACCTCACTGTCTGAAGATAAAGTTAGTCTAGATGGCATTACTTTGGCCCTCTAGCAGACCACTTTTAGGAATCTGGAGTTATCTTTGATCGGATTTGTCATTTAATTCCCACATAAAGCAGATCTCTAGGACTGCCTTCCTTTTTCATTAACGTAATATTATACAAAAATTCAGACACATCCTGTCACAGACAGATGCAGAAAAACTAAATCATGCATTTGTTTACCGTCTAGGCTGGATTTACTGCAACTCTTTATTTATCAGGTTGCCCATAAAATCCAATTAAGAACGCTCCAATTAAATTCAGAACGCTGCAAGCACGAGTAACTGACAGGAACTAGGAAAAGAGAGAGGCTCCAGGTTAGTCCTGAACCATCCCTTAGTATGCTGCATAGGCACTAGACTATCGGGGGATTTCACATGATGCACTGAGCTCCTCTTCTCCTCTCCCTCTCTTTCTGCAACATTCATAAATTAAAGGGAAATTTGTTTTGTATCATGGTGTGTATGCAAATAAGAAGTCTTTTTAGTGTATAACTGTGGATGATTTCTGTTGGTATTTCTTTAGTGTATTTTTATGTTAACAAGCATCCTGGTCTGTTTGTTCAGCTGTACTGTATGTTACTGTATTCCAACTGTAGTATTACTGTAGTATTTGGTGGTATTACCGCCTATAAGTTATTACTGTAGTTCGCTGTAGTATTACTGTAGTTCCGCTGTAGTTTTACTTGTAGTTCTGCTGTAGTATTACTGTAGTTCTGCTTAGTATTACGTAGTTCCACTGTAGTATTATGTAGAAAATTACTTGTAGTATTACTGTAGCATTACTGTAGTTTACTGTAGTATTACTGTATTTTCTGCAGTAGTAATTATGTATTTCTGCAGTAGTATTCTGTAGTTCGACTGTGGTAATTAACGTAATTTTCTGCAGTAGCATTACTGTATACTGTAGTAATTACTGTAGTATTACTTGTATTCCACACTGTAGTATTACTGTATTTACTGCTGTAGTATTTTGTGGTGGCTCATTCTGGGTCTGCGCGGAGAAACAGAGAGAGACAGACAGATGTACAGCAACAACAGTAGCAACAACTACATTAATAGTAGTGACCAATGACGATCATGAAAAAGACAATGACGATGACAGCAGCAACAATGGGGGACAGCGAGCAGCGACAACAGTAATATAATAATACTTAATAATAACTAATAATAATAACAACAACAATAATATCAGTCAGATCCTGACTGAGCTGCTGTCTCACCTTCCCCAGGAAGAGCACGAAGTCTCCGACGGCGTTGATTGTGGCGACGCGCAGAGCGTTTTCTACCAGGATTACAAAGGCGTCACGTGCAGATGTGCAGAAACTGGTGCTGTTGATGGCTGTGGCTGCATATGCATTCTGGGAAATAAAAGCACAGGTGAGTCAGTGTCAGTGAGAAGAGTTAAAGAAGAGTTAAAGTCGTTTGTTACCTGATTGAGATAGTTGAGGCACTTCTCCAAACACCACAGACAGCAGATACAAGTTTTCAGCAGACAGCGAGCACACGCATTCTCCTGAGATAAACAACAACAACAACAACAACACAAATAAACAACATTTAACTAAACAACACAAATATATAACAGCTCAATAAAGGAAACGTTTACAGAATAACAAATATTATATGAAATATCATATCATCTGCATACAGACTGATCTTGTTCCTCAAGAAAAATCCTCAACACTCATTATCTGTCTCAGTTTGTTTGGTTGTGTCGGCAGTGTGGTGTTAATAACGGTTTTATTGTATCAGCAATGTGGTGTTAATAAAGGTTGTTTTGTATCAGCAGTGTAGTGTTAATAAAAGTTGTTTTGTACCTTTCCTTTGAGCTGGTTGTGGATGTACATGAGGATGAGTCGGGGGATCTTGACCAGCGTGATGATGAAGGATCCTTTAGCGACGGTGCCCAGGTGATACCTGACCAGCCTCAGGACCGACGACAGGATCGGAGTCACCGGGAGTCGGTTCTTGTCCCTGAAACACAAAGTCCTTATTGATCTGGTTCCCCATGGTCAGGTGTGTACACAGAAACAGGAAGCAGGAAACGGACGTCTACAGGAACCATCACTACCACTATCATAAATATGTAGCTAGCTTAGCACAAAGACTGGAAACAGATGGAAACAACTAGCTTAGCACAAAGACTGGAAACAGCTAGCGTAGACCAAACGTAGCAGAATCTTGCAGGTGTGGACTCACCTGGTGAAGTAATACGTGACCACGGCTCCGGCCACAGTCATCTGCTGGCAGGCCAGAATGAACTCCGTGATCCAGATCAGACCCACAGCGTGGTACCAGGTCAGGTACTGCAGAGGCCCCGTCAGTCTGAACTCTGTCAGACCCGTCTCCTCGTTCTGGACCGGGTTCCCTGCATAACCACAAAGACACACCCCACTACAGTTCCCATAATGCTGTTGGGGATGTAAACAGGAAGTAGAATGTTGCCATGGAGTGTGTTTTCTGAATGAGCTGATGGCGTGTTAGCATCTCACGCTAGCACAAAAAGCAATAGTAATGTGATACAGTTTAATTTTTATTTAACAGCTGTTTACTGACAATATTAACTGTTCATGAAAAAAGACAAAACAATTAATGGATTAGTTGTCAACAACAACAAACTACACCCGCCAATTGTAGCTGAACGTTAGCTATATGCTATATGCTATGAGTTAGCATCTGGCAGTGTCTAAATGCTGGCAACGTGAACACGTGGTGGAGTTTAACTGACCCGTGGTTCCCAGGAAGAGCAGGACCAGGATCCAGTAGATCCAGAAGAGCAGGAGGGCCAGGAAGGTGACGAAGGGCTGCAGGGTGAGGAGGGGGAGGTGGATGAAGACTTTCCCCGCCACGTGGAACAAAGCGATGGTCAGAGCGACTCGTTTCCTCATGAAGAGCATCAGCAGCAGCAGGATGATCTGGAACAGCAGAGAGGATCCATCAGGACCTGGTTACGTAGGGGGGGCTTATAAAGCTCTTCAACTCATTTAGATCAATAATCAATAAATATAGTTCCGTGTAAAAAATTTATGTATTAGTCCGAAGGTGTTCCTGCTCAGAACCCCGAGTCAGCTAACGTTAGCTGCACGAGCTACAAACTTTAAACTTTATACAAGCGACAATAAAGTTGTGTGTTTGTACAGTGATAATAAAGTTGTGTTTGTACAGTGCTAATAAAGTTGT